TTTTTCTGTTTTGTGGGTGGAGGGGTGGTGGGGGGGGGGGGGGGGGGGTGAGGGCAGGAGGGGAATTGGGGCACATTTTTTTGTCTAGAAAATCCTATATTTTATATATTATAAGTCATTTTCCTTTATGTACCGGTAAGAAAAGAAAGTTAACATGTTACTATGCTTGATACGCGGGGTTTATATGCATCTGGGAAAGTTCCCGTAAACGTAAAATACTTTTAAGTTAAAACAAATTGCAAGGTGCCGTCACTATTCAAACCAACACACAGGGCCGTCCGAATAATGAGACAGCCTAAGGGGATTGTAACTCATTTGGCTGCATGAGGGGGCGGCAAGTGTGTGGCCCCCTTTTTGACCAGAGCATCCCAGGTTGCTTTGGCCAGCGTCCTTCCCAGCTCACTGATGTCACTGGTTGCCAGGAGCTGGGAGGGAAGCTCTGGATGGCACATCCTGCCCTGCTCCTGACTACCAGTGCTGTCACTGATCTGGGCAGAACACCAGACTGAGGTACCTGCCCTGCTCCTGGCTACCAGTACTGAGCTGGGCAGAATGCCAGACTGAGGTACCTGCCCTGCTCTTGGAAACCAGTGCTGTCACTGAGCTGGGCAGAATGCCAGACTGAGGTACCTGCCCTGCTCTTGGAAACCAGTGCTGTCACTGAGCTGGGCAGAATGCCAGACTGAGGTACCTGCCCTGCTCTTGGAAACCAGTGCTGTCACTGAGCTGGGCAGGACGCCAGACAGAGGTGCCATCTCCCCCCCGCAAAATGTTCTTCTCAGTTTGGTGGATTGGGCCCGGGCCCTGGTGTTTGGCCAGTTGGGGGGAGCCCAGAGAGAAAGAAAAGGGCCCGCCACATGCAGCTGCCTCATGCTGCCCGCTGTGTTTTTGACACTTGCAGACCACAGTTCAGACAGAGGGATGGTGAAGACATTTGTAGCGGGGAGGGGTGGCCAGACAGGGAACACCATTTGCATGCACTATTTTTTCTGACCGCACCGAAACGCAGGCATTGATTTGCCATGCGTTCCGGTGCAGGCGATCGCACTGCGGCCTGGGGGCGTGCCTGCGATGGCATTTGCCTTTAATGTGCAGCCGCACCCCCTCCCACCCCAGATTGCAGTTGGCTGGCCGGCATGTTAGTGATTAGCATATTAATGATATGATACCAAGGCAGTGCTTGACTCTTTAATGTGCATGGATCAAACAGATGAAAGGGGTTCAAGGTGTCAGAGGTGTGGAGATGTAAGAGGGTTCATCACTATATAAACCTGGGAGACCTCAAACTGGCAAATCAGTCCTTGGACAACCTCTGAGGAGTCAACTTCTCCTGAGCTGATCGAGACACCCAGCAGAAGATGCCTTCAGAGATCACCTTGAAGACTGTCCTATGTTTCTGGTCCATCTGCATGGCCCTGGGGAGGCCTCCTTTCCCACTTAACTCGGGGGACTTGAACTTTCCACCTTCTGGACTACACAGCCATTCTCAGAAGCTCAGGGTTCCTCCTTATATGATGCAGCTTTACCAAACCCTCATGGGTGAGCACAAGGATCCTCACAGGCCGGAAAATCAAATCTTGGAAGAGTCCAACACTGTCCAGAGCCTTCCTGCTAAGAGTAAGTACAGTAAGAGTAAGATTTCAAACATTGAGATTTTGGGACTTTGTGTTATTATTGGGGGTATTGGTGAAGATGATTTGAGATTTGGGGTACATGCACCGTAGAGTATAACACGATCTATGACGTAGTTTCTCATGTTGAGGTTTGGTTTCTGTTCTCTTTAATTTTTTTATAGACGTTGTTAATATTGGGCAGAATGCCAGACTGAGGTACCTGCCCTGCTCTTGGAAACCAGTGCTGTCACTGAGCTGGGCAGAATGCCAGACTGAGGTACCTGCCCTGCTCTTGGAAACCAGTGCTGTCACTGAGCTGGGCAGAATGCCAGACTGAGGTACCTGCCCTGCTCTTGGAAACCAGTGCTGTCACTGAGCTGGGCAGAATGCCAGACTGAGGTACCTGCCCTGCTCTTGGAAACCAGTGCTCCCTGCTCCTGGCAATCAGTGCTGTCAATGAGCTGGGCAGGACGCCAGACAGAGGTGCCATCTCCCCCCCGCAAAATGTTCTGCCAACCCTTAACCCACGCAGTAACACTGCCAGCACCCCCACCACCCTGGCCCCAGGATGCGAAAATTGTAGGGATGCCCATGCCAACTCTCAGGCAACTTCAGTCAGGCCTAGTGTATTTTAGCCACATGCGACCCACTTAGTTCATTTTTGGTGGCCCTCTAGCACCAGGATGGGACTAAGGAGCACTCTTGGCATGGCTACTATACCATCTTACTGGCATTCTCCTAAAGTAAGGTGTAAGCAGCTATTTCCTGTTAATGGGTATAGGAGACAGCAGAGGAAAGCAGAACTAAACGTCTATGGGGGGCTTGTCTACCTCTGTCTCCCGGCTGAGTTCTATGGGGCTATACAGTACAGGTGCGGCCAGCAGTGAGAGGACTTTGGCGTCGGATGTAACAGTCCCAGGAGGACAGATCTCAGTAAATATAAATCTGTGGAGGGGTTGGCTGGGCTGTCTGATGTCAGGGGAGGGGAGCATAAAGGATAAGTGCACTTCCTATAAGCAGGTATTGACAGCAAGGGCATATCAGCAAAAAAATAAAACCCAACATACACCCAAAAGAAATGAAAACCCCAAAATACCACCCTGAAACAAAAGCCCACAATAAAAAAAAACCAAAAAACCCAAAAAACAGGGCAGCTACAAATGACCAAACCATTCATAAAATGCATGCTGTGGTGTGGAGCCTGCTGTGTGCAGAGAGAACTTTGTGATTGAAGGAGAGACTTTGACAGATCACATGATCAGGCTCCCTTGTGCCATTTTGTTTCAAGCAGCGGAATGCCTGCAGTAAGGTTATACTTCTGTTTTATAAATGGATCCCTTTGTGTTGGCAGGGTACACAAGACACAACATTATTTGGAATGTGGAAAGAGAGCGCTGGACCCGTGTGGTCATTATTCTCTTAGTGTTTCTCATACACAGTAGTTGGGTGTTATGAACATGGCTGACGGGTCAACCCGATGATGGGCCTCCACATTCCAGAAGATCTCCATGGGGGGCTATTCACAAAGCTGCCAAAGGCAGCCGAGTGAATAGCCCAGCCGAAGTGAAGTAAGCCGAACGCTGTTCGGTTATTCACTTCGGCCCAGTACAGCTGATTTCAGCTGTACATCGGCTAAAACCAGCCGTACGTTGGCTGCCTTCGGCTGAGCCGAAGTGCAGAAGGAGTTCAATTCAGCCAATCCAACATCTGGATCGGCTGAGCTGAAGCTCTTGCAGCTCACTCTCTTGCAGCTCACGCCAGGGCCCAGTCGCAATTGCAACCGATGCGACCCTGGTAGTTCCGCCAATGGCCGTCCCTATAATGAGGTAGCCTGTTGCCTCAGGTGGCATCTCTTTGGGTCACGTGGGGGACGGGGGACGGCAGGCAGAGCGGCATGCAGTGCGCATGCCTCCCTCTTTTGGGCCAGAGCATCCCAGGTTACTAAGAGCCAGGGGGGAGATGTGTAAGGGCCGTACACATCTTCTCGCCAAGCTTTTAGCAACCTGGAACGCTCTTGCTGGCGTCCCAACGTTTTTTCGGTATTGAGTACCGATATTTTTTTTCCGGTACTCAATACAGAAAAAACGGTATTGGTGCATCCCTGGTATTAATGATTACAAAGTTGCATTCATTTGTGTTTTTTTTTTTTTTATCCGCCTGGACTTCAGCTTTAAAGTAGAAGAGTTTGCCATAATGTACTTGTATGCACAGTCCATAAGCACATTATGGCCCTCTAACCTTGTAGATGATCCCCTCCAGCACCAAAACTGCCATATTCTGCAGGTCTTCTTCTGGGTTCAGCATATTCGGCCTCTTGATTGGCCGGCCGGCACGATGTAACTCCTGCGCATGTGTACGGGAGTTACTTCATCTCAGCGTGACGGGTCTGTGCACTGAAAAAAAAACTGCTGACAGGTAGGTAGGACATTTTTGGCAGAAGAGACACAGAAAAAAAACTGCCTGTCATCAATTTTTCATCCAGGTCACTTTACTTCCACTCGAAGGCTAAACCTCCACTGAATGAATGTTGGTGAAGGATTGAGTGAACTGGAGAATTTTCAGAATTGGTCACAAGATGTCACTTCTGCTTCACCAGATGATTCACATTCCATGTGATGGTTAGAGATCTTCATCTGCCTCTTTTGGTGCCTGTAAGTCCAGACGTTTGGCATGGTATTCACCAAATCTACTCAGCCTTCCCTTTCCCAGAGGGACTCTTTGACCTCTGTGGTCGGTGGGGATGTGTACCTAAAGATCACCATCCCCCCAGCATTCTGACATTTCAGTCTTGCCCCTGCATTTCCTCCTCTAGCTTCCTCTTCATCTTCTTCGCATTCGTGAGAGGGAGGGCTTTCTGGTGCAGTGGTGTCACAAGGGGGTTGCGGGGGGTGCGGCCCGCATTAGGGTGACACCATTGTAGCGGTTACACCTAAATGACTCACAGTCATTTTAGTGTCACCCCCCTCTGAAAAGTCAGGTGCTCCGTCATGGACCGAACGCCCGACAGTATCAGGAGAGAGGAGGGGACCCGGCGGCATACCTTATCCCGCCGGGTAGCTGTCTCCTCCTCTCTCTGCCGGCATCCATCACCAAGATGGCCGCCGGCAGGTATCATGCGTGGTGACGTCTCGGCGGGGTGACACTCGGACACCGCTCCGGGTGTCACCAAGCCTCGGGACGCCCCTGTTATGGCGCTCTTCCTTGCTCCGGATGGAACCAAGCGGATGTTTCTTAGCTGACCTGCTGATGTTCCTGACCATTGCTCCATGGACTCTGACTAGGGTTGCCACCTGTCCAGGATTCACCCAGACAGTCCGGTTTTTGAGTCTTCTATCCGGGTGGCCACCCAGACACAAGACAGTAAGTGCCAATACAGGCACTTTACATTTTTTTGACAGATGCGGCTGCTGAGGTCCCCAGCAAGCGTGGCACCTCAGGCAGTGCATCTGCCTGAAGCGGCATCCTACTGTGAGCCATGAGCGCCTGTAAACAGGTACCGGCCCGCTCAACGCCTCCTCCATCTTCCTGACACCACACTGCACGCCTCCGGACCCTGGTGGGACACCGCACAGCCCACACAGCACTCTTGAAAGCCTGCATAGCCCACCTGAGACCCCCACACAGCCACCTGAGAATCCGCGTACCCCACCTGTGTGTCCTCAAAGCCCACCTGAGAGTGCATGCAGCCCACCTGAGAGCCTGCACAGCCCACCTGGAAACCAGCAGAGTCCAAAAGATCAGGGGGGTGTTAGGATTGAGTGGGGGGGGGGGGGGTGTATATGTGTGTGAGATTGTCTCTGTGATTGTGTGACTCAATCTCACACAACCTGGACACGTACCACCTACCTGCCAGGGTTTTTGAGGGCACGTTCACACTAGTACAGTGCGGTAATCTAACAGTCCTGTGCAATGAACACACTGTACCACACAATTACACCTACTACGCGTTCTGGTGCGGGAGGTGCGTTGCGTTGCCATTCATGTGGCGCACCTCCTGCCCACAGTTCAATCGCCCGCACAGGAACGCGCGATACCGAAATTCCGTGCATTCCTTTGCAGTGTGACTTGGGTCGCGACCTAATGACCGAGGACAAATGTGGATTCTGAGGTTACACAGGTTGGGAACAAAGGCCTTAAATGATGTCACATGTTGGAGATTATTGGTGAAACAGAGTGTGTGACCTTTTATAGTTTAGAGGTCATTGAGTTCTGGTGAGTTCATTTAAACCTATTTCTTCACACGGTGGTACGGATTGCTGGAATTGGAGCGCACGTGTTGGTGGATTATTTTTGCTTTTGATGCTATGGACTACGACATTTATATTATGGTTTATTTTTACATTTATTCAACTTGATTTATGTCGTTATGCACTATTAATTTAAGAGGATTGCAAAAAAGTAGTTTTTTTCACAGTGTCCACATATGTATAAAGGTCCAGTGGAAGAGGCACCCACATATTTTGTAATGAAGCCACATACAACGGAAAATTGTATACTTACCTATCGGTAATTTTCCTTTCCTGACAACAATACATGGCAGCATACAATGGAAGCGGAGCCATACCCACTGTATGCTGCCATGTATTGGCGTCAGGAAAATGGAAAATTGTATATGCACGGATTGTGTTTCTGACATTCAGGGATGTAATATTGTCTTTTGAGCACTAGATAGTGCTGTTGTGCAATAATAGTCTATGCTAGTCTGCATGTTCATGTTATATTCATGCTTGGTTATCTATACTCATGACCCCTTTTTGGACGAGGAAAGTTTTACGTGACCCCAGCGTCGGACAGTGTCTCTCCCCTCCCCCCCCGCAGCGTCGGTCGGTGCCTCTCTCCCCCCCCTAGTGTCAGTGTCTCTCTCCTCCTCCCCCTCCAGTGTTGGTCAGTGTCTCTCTCCTCCTCCCCCCCAGCCTTG